GTAAAATGGCAATGATACTATACCTTCACAGAGATACTGTGATGATAAATCAGATGATGCATATATAAAGAGCTAGTGTCTGCACATAGTAAACACTTATATTTTGCCAGTATTATTTTTTTCCTAGAAATAAATACATAGTACATGCATGGATTGCTGTTAAGCCCAAGACTGCAGCAGTATGTGCAAAAAACAATTTTGTCATAAAATCTGAGTTTCTATTTTCCAATTTCAGTGTCTAATGACATATCTCTGGCTTCCTTTAAACCTTTAAATCCATGTTATCCCCAATCCAGTTGTGAATGTTCTTTTAGCTTGTTTTTGATATCTACTGCCATATTTTTTAGAATAAAATTGCAAATCAACTAGACTGAGCCAATGGGTTATATGGAGAGCCTATTTTCTATTTAAGTATCACTAGAAATGTCTTTATTAACATTGGAAATTCTGGCTAATTATTTTTTTTAAGATGATAAGAGATGTGACTATATTTCATCTGCTTAAGTGTTTTCACTATGACAGTCTTGCTAAGGCTCTGTAGGCCAAAGGCTCCACATCAGTTAAATATTCGACTGCACTTTCTCCTACTTAGTATTACGGAATGTTATCTTAAGTATGAAATATGTCTTGCACAGTATGTCAAAATGTTGAGCAATATCGTTTCAGTCTAAACACAGAAATGAAAAAAGAGCAGATGATTTCCCTTTTGCTGTAATTCACTTTGGGATGCATGTCATGAAGAGCACTATACAAAAGCAATTTTCATTGATTGACTGACTGATTGAGGAAAAGGGTGAATGTTCTTTCAGCTTACATCCCTACTGAAGTATGATTTTTATAGCTCCTGACAGCTCTTCACAATTTGTAGTTAAATGCCAGGTTAGCAAATAAGTAAATAAACAAAATAAAAAAGAGAAAATCGTAATTAGAACTTCTTTGGGATTTTAATACAGCTGAGTTGAGCCAAATAGATAAACAGATGAAGGTAAGACAAATTCAAATCTAACTGCTCTAATTTTTCCATGCAATAAATTTAGATTTTAATGACTATAATTGCTAAAAATACTTCAATAAATTAATTGCATAATCTAATCAGCCATACTAACAATCACATACTTCTTATACTTGTGGAAGGTGCTACTTTTTCTAGAGTAATTAGTTTTAACTGAATTTCTGATTTAAAGAAGCATTCAGCATGAGTGTTTTGTTCTTATAATCTCAAAAAGAATTGTTCATAATCTGAAATGCTCTTCTAATTCTATAAAACAAGCTCCTTCATTTACCTAATTTGGGGATATCATTCACTCTGTGATATAACTAAATGAATGCTGATCTGTGGGTTACAGATGCAAATACTTAACATGACCAGTGATGAAACTGAAAAAAATTTCACATAGAAATGTTATATTCCAACATCTATTGTAGCAGATCAGTGTCTGCTATTGATCAGTAGTAATCAGTAATCTAATCACTGTTACTTTGGTCTCCTCTTAAACTTTTAATTTATCCTTCTAATGGCATAAAAATACTTGGGGAATTTTTCCACCTTAATTTATCTAAACTTAGTTTTTCTCAATTGTTAAGTCAAAGCAATGCTGGTGAGGCAATAATTTTTACTTGAAATAGATTCACTTAATTACAATGGATCTTCACGAGGACTAAATTTTAATGCTTGCAAAGTTAAATTTGTTTGCAACGTATGAAAGATGGCTTATTTTGAGAACATTTTTTAAAATACTGAGAACCTAAAGGCACACAGCAGGTCATAATAAATACATTTCCAGGTGAGAAGCACTAAAATGCCTTTCCTAGGCTATTGTATACATATGGAAAGGCCCGTAAAGATGTTGGAAAATCCTTTATGTAGGTTCCTGCTTCCTTTATTACAGAAGCTTGAGGAGATAACTTTTGCAATCTGGAATTGACATTCTTCATGCAGTTATGTATCCAGCAAAATAGGTCCAGGTTGGGAGGAAAAACAGTTCAAACTAGTAAATAATTGCAGTATCATTGCATCAGTTTAGTTTAAAGAGCTGACAAACCCTCTCTAAACTCCAAGCACAATTAGTCATTAGGGTCTAGTTTTTCAGCACTGTTAAGCAATTTGTAACCCATTCCTTTTAATAGGGTTAGGCATTACTTAACCGACACAGATGCCTTGAAAACTGAAACCTCAAGTTATAAAGCAGCAACCTTGTTCATTACCTTCTGTGATAGGCAAATCATCTATAAAAAACAGCATTTAATGGGCAACCAATGAATAATCAATGGCTCACTTTTCATCTGAGTGTGAAAATGAAGATAATCTAATACAAAGTCCCACTGGTAATAGGCTGAATCTTAGGTTCTGCTGCTCTTCAGGGCTGATTTATAAGGTCTTGGAAAGCTGATGTAAACAGATGATCAATGGGACCATCCCTGCTCATAATAACCCCCAACTGGCCCACTCCCTCTTTTCCAAGTCCATCCCTTCAGGCTATTAGCTCTGTCCAGCTAATTCTTCCCACTACTCCTGCCTGCTGCTTTTACTCTGACCATCCGTTCAGTCCAGCCGACTCACAAGTAATTTTATACGCAGCAGAGAGCGGGTGGAATTGATTTTTCACTCAGCGCTCTGTTCCCATCTGAATAATTATCAATTTTACTGCCTCATAAAGGGAAGAGTCAAAATTTCAAATCAATTCAAAAGAGCTTTTGAGATGACAGAAACTGTGCATAAGAATAGAGGTCAAAGTTGTCAGTGACCTAAGGAGATGATGTCAGATATTACTATACCCAACAGTTGACATCAGAGGCACTCAAGATGATATAACCTAGTGCTAATGCAAATCATATTTATGCTGACTACCAGAGACCAGCTATTAATATTTAAAATGCTATCTGAAAGCCTACATTCCAAATAAATAGAATGTATTCCACTGTTAATAAAGATATATCACTACTTAGTCATATGCTATAAAGTGAAGGATTACCAAGTATCATTAACACATAGAAATTACTTAAACCAACAAATGCATGGTAATTCTGAGTAAAGATAAACTTGATTGTCTCCTGCACATCCACATTACTTGCTCTGCACAGTCTGATGGTATTTTGTCTAGGACCACAGCCTATTGATTTTTGCTAAAATTTTCTACCAACCTAAAAGTGTCTGCCAAAGTTTATGGGACAATATTGTGATTATGGCTGGAGTGATTTGGTGGTGGACTAGTCGGTGGGGTTGGGGCTGGGTCTGACTCCTGGCCAATCCATGAATATTTATTTTCTTCAGTGGCTACATGGTGTAGGTAAGTTGTTTTCAACTTTCTCCCTGCAAAACATATGAGGGCTAAGACATACTCCCAAAATTACCAGTGGCTACTGCATTTGGGTGGGTGCGTGGGGGTAAGGTGCACTCATATCCTGATAAAAGATACATTTTGAAAAGGCATTCAAGGTGAATCTGAGATATTATCCCCACCTTGCATATCAGTGGTGAGAGGAGGAAGGACTTGGGCTTTTGAGCTAAACAGACCTTGGTTCAACTTTCAACTCCATCACTTTCCAGTTAATCTCACTGCACCTCAACTTATTCATCTGTAAAATGAGGATGATGATACCCACATTTTAGGGTTGTTGTGGGATCTAAATGAGAAGACTTCTCTGACAGTACTCCCCTCATATGTCACTCACTTGTCATCACTATATTAATCAAATTACCAAATAACTGGTTAGTTACTTGTCTCTTTGTCCCACATAACATTTAATTTTCTTATTTTTTTCCTCTTTTTGTGCACAACATTGTGAATGTAAGGACATTTTTTGAGGACAGAAATTATGTCTAACTCTTAATGGTTCTTGTACCTTGCATGTAATGAATCCTCACTACATGTGAGGTACCTCCATCTTCCCTTTACTATATTACCAACATGTAACAGTTCCATGGCTATACCAAATAGTTATAGGCCTACAGCCTTTTGCCTAGTTACATAAAATCTGAATTACATTTATCTGCCTCCACCCCCGGAAAATAACTAGTTAACTGAAACTTCACCACAAATAAGGTTTACATAATTTCATTTAAATATTAGCAACAAAGGATAGCCAGAAATCTCTTTCATACCATCTCATTCTATTTTCATCATTTATTTACATTGTGACATTTTCTGATTATTGTGACTTATTTGCTCACTAATGATCATGCAGCAAGACACTGTTGAAGTGTTTACATTTGTTAATTACAGACTGTTACAGATATAATTTGGCAAAAGAAAACAACCGAAAATAGTATGAAGATATTTTCCAAATTTAGTGGAATTAAGAAATACAAGAGTGTTGCTACAGCCATTAAAAAATGGTATTGTTCTTTTGAAATATTTCTGGCATGTATATTCATTTTTCATGTATGCTGTTAATTGTGATTTGCACAAGTGAGTTTTTTAAAACAATAAAACAATATTAAACCCTTATTAGCCAGTTAGAAAACACATTTGAAAATAAAGAAATTGTGGCTTTATTACTTATTAAATGTTCTTGGAAATATACCTAATCTATCTGAACATTGGTTTCCCTTCTTAAAATGGGAAAAATATCAATTATAATATAATGAATGGAAAGTTCCTAGCAAGTTGCTGGGCATAGACTAGGAGCCCAACAAATGGTAGTTTCCTAATGTAGCAGAGGATTCACAAGTCTAACTTAAGATAACATTATCAGAGGCTCCAGGAAAGAAATCAGAGGTTGTCTGTTTCTAGTTCCGGTTACATCCTATTTTTCTCAGGTGTCTGGAAAAACTATTCTCTTTTTTAATTCTAGCTTCACTGAGGTAAGATGAATGGCAAAGGGGTTTCTTGAGGTGAGTAATCCTGAGACCAGTGTCCTATACCACTTTTGGGGAAAATACTCCTAGACAATAATTAGTAAAAAGTCTTAGCAAGACTAATTGCTCTAAGAGATAATCGGGGACAGGATGGCTTCTTGGAAACTTTGCTTTTTAAGGTAGGTGAACAACTACCAGTTACCTGCTGCAGGACATCTGGGTTTTGCTGCATAAAATGTAATAGTCTCTGACCAGCCTGGGTAGCCTCTCCAACTCGAAGTGGCTTCTTGCCCTCTTTTGCTATGTGCTTGAAGAGGTAGGTGACGATGTAGTCTAAACTGGTACAGCAGCTGGAGGAGACAACTGTATCTGTATAAACAATAAATAAGAATTCATTTGCATTACTTAAGTATTTGCTTCATTTGATTATAATGTCTCCACTAAAAAAAAATCACTTTCGGATTCAAAGCACTTTTACCAAACTGTAAATTCCTTGAGGGCAGGGAATTTTCTTATTTCTTTAAACAAAGGGTCTATTACAGGGCTACGCCTAGAGACACTTCAGTAAGTAAATGATTCTCAGATTGAATTGGACAGAATTTTCCATTTGTGACCTCAACAACTTCTGTTCAGTTAAAGTGACTGTTAATAAAAGTATCTACTTAATGGAAAGTACTCTGCTTCAGAGGAAACAGGAGTCTAACGCCAAGCCAGGTGTCAAAGAGCTCATGGCTTAGTAGACAAGTCACTACAGCAAAATGCTATGTAAGAATGAGGGGACACACTGAGGATTCTGGGGGAGAGCTCACATTTAGATGGTGATCAAGGACAGCTTGGTGAAGGAGGCAACACCAGAGATGGGCTGCAAAAGATTATTCCATTTAGACATAAGGAAGGATATTTTTCAGGTAGAGAGATTAGCATAAGGCAACAGTGTGGTGCGAAAGGATTTTGGAGCCAGATAGCTCTGGTTTCAAGTCCCATCTTTTCCAATTACTTGTTGTGTTATTACTTTGAAAGTGCCACTTCATTTTTCTCACCATTTGTAAAATATTTTGGCAGAGGTGAATGAGAAATAACAAGTTGTATAGTAATAAAAATACCTGATATTTATTGAGAGCTTACTATGTGTTAGTTACTGTGTTAAGTGCTTTACATGAATTATTATTTTTAATCTTCACAGCAGCACTATAATACTTACTGTTATTATCTCCATTTACAGGTGAAGACACTGAGGCTTAGAGAGACTAAGTGACTAGCTAGAAGACTGTGCAGCCAAGGTATGAAAATAAATGAGGAGCTAGACTCTGGATCTATATTCTTAACCACTACATTAAAATTAGGTATTTAGCAACAATACCTATGTAAATAGCAGACACACCTTCTTAAAACACAATGGACACTCAAAAATGGCAATAATTACAGGTTTGCCCTCATGGTAAAAAGAGGAGAGTGTATTCAGGGAGTAGACTTTTGGTTTGGCTGAGAGAATGTGTAGGAGAGTCATAAGAGAAGACTGACATAGTAGTTTGGGGGGTGGTTCTTACTTGAGGGCATCCAATAGTGGGGCTGAGACATTTACATTTGATTTGAAAGGCAATAGAGGTGTCATTGAAGGCTTTCTGAGCAAGTAAGTAACATGACAGAGCAACCATTTATTGAGAATCTCCTTTACACACTAAAATTACCATCTCATTTACTTCTAACAACTACTTTATATAGCATTATTTGCATTGTTAAATGAGAAATCTGAAGCTCAGAGATTAAGTAATTTATCCAAGGTCTAAGCAAAAATAAAAAGCTTTTTTTTCCTCCTAAAGCTATGGCGTTTGATAAATTGATTAGTTAATTTCGTATTTATCTCTCCCCACTAACTGGTTCACTTTGTACAAAAGGGAGCTTTGGTTTTATAATCCTGGGAGGTAACACATTATATAGCAGAAAATATCTAGGCCCAAGAGTTAGACACAGATTTGTTGAGTCTGCTTGCTTTTCTGTCACATTTCTGCATTTGAAATCCCAATCATGAAAGTAAATGGATTAAGTAACTTAACATCTACAAAGGCAAACAGGAAATAGATATGGTTCCCCTCACCAGTGAATAGCAATATGCTATCAATCATATGAAAATTACAAAGACTTTGCATAGATTTGGTGACCACATGCCATGCAGGTTGCATTAAAAGGCTCCAATCCACTGAGTCAGCTGTGAAAAAGCCAGGTAAACACTTTAGACACAAAGGTTGGAGCACATATCTTTGCAATAAAAGCAAGAACAGCTTCCATTATGGCTGATTTATGGTTGGGAACTTGGAAAAAGATAAATGTTATTTTAGGGTAGATTTAAAAGTGTGGAATCATAAGGATTAAGGGGCATTTAGTCAAAAACAAAATGAAGGTGCTGAGCACCGTGTATTATTATTGGTTTTCTTTGTAGCTCAAGCTATTACATGAGATTCAAATAAAGAAACTATCTGACATAAAGGATGTGCATAAGTCAAAAATTTTCATATTTTGTCCTGGTTTTTGGTGTTTCGAATCTTTTAAAAAGGATTACATCCATAATTTAGATAATTTTAGAAATAAATAAACCTAATAGGCATTTTGTCCTCCCTAGTAACTTGTTGTTTGGCATTGAAAACAACCAAGTGTTCCTTTTCTTCTGCAACAGTCTACACAGGAAACACATGCATCATTAATAGCCCTTCTGCTCACTAAGACCCATCACCGAAAGCTGTGCTGAAAAGTTAACTGTATAGGAAAGAACTGCTTAACTGAGAGTCAGGAAGAATGATAATGGGGCTGAGCTGAAATTTGGCTTCAGCTCAAAACTTCTCACTACAACAGAAGAGAGGATGAAGGTCTTGGAAAAGTATGGTCTGAAAGGCAATTTCAGAGACAAAAGGCCTATTTGCATAAAACAGTCGTTTTGTAAATAGGTGGGTCTAGGTTTGAATCTATTATTTTCTAGATTTTCACCCAGCTTCAATTGCACTTCTGTAAAATGTGCTTAATACTACCTACTTTGTAAGGTGTTGTGAGACATGAATAAGATTAAGTGTGTAAAGATTGTAACACAGTGCCCGACATACACTAGGTTTTCACTTTTTCACTTCTCATTTCTTTTTCTGGCTATTTCAATCCCTTGAACACTAATGCTGTCAGTCTACTTAGCTAATCCACAGCTCTCTTCTCTCTTTAGTACTTTTATTTTTTTGGTGGGAGAAACTAATGTACAAGGTCTCTAAGTTATAAATATTTTTTAAATGTTTCACTCCACATTATATTCATCCCATATATGCCATCCAATTCAAGAATGTGTTCAAGATAGCAACATATTCTCCTTTATTCTTTACATGCATTTTACTAATAATGAACTTCATAAGAAAAGACACAGTGGTTCCTAGCTGATCCAACTTTTTGCTTGCTCTCACCTCTCCTTGTTTAGTCTTTTAGGTTTAGAATGTACCATCATCCCTGCCATGGCTAATTTTAGAGGCCTGTCTTTATCAGTTCTAAAACAGCCACACTCTCCATCCATCACCCCATTTTAATTCTTTGTTTAGCACCTGTCATGACTTGATATTTTCGTGTGTGCGTGCGTGCGTGTGTTTGTTCACTTATTGTTATCTCTCCCTACTAGAATGCAACCCTTCATGTGAGCAGGGATCTTAACTGTTTTGTTCTCTTTGGTACTGTCAAGGTCTAGAATAGTTATCTGGTATATAGTATGTGCACAACTGATTATTATTGAATGAATGCATTGGGAGCCATTATTAAGAGCAGCTTTTTGTAAGCCCTGTGTTTTGTCTCTGTAAAAATATGGGAGTTCGGTGGGGGTGGGGCATGGAGAATGGATGAGTAATTAAAAAGAGCATGAAACTAAAAATGATAAGGAATGATAATTAACTAAAATTTTGAAATATCATGTTCAGAATATTAGTCAAGTCATTACTTTATCACTTACTTTTCTGTACCTCCTTCCCATTTTTTTCCCACTGAGGCTACAGTAGAACTGAAACCTGTCTATAACCCAAACAATACCAATAAATGCCTCTTTGCAAATATATCATTTTGGGGAAAGGAAAAATCCAAGTGGTTACTTTCAATGTTCTAAATAGTTCTCTTTCTTGAAGACACAGGGCACAATTCACCTGCTAGGGTTATCCAATGATTACAATGCCAATTTGCAATAAAACACAAGGTTGAAGATAAAATCACCAATATGTACAAGGAAAACCATCTCTACCAAGCACCTAGCTGTTAAAGCTATGACCCTTATCAGGTAGATCTAACATGGTAGTATGGTGAAGAAGAATGAGTTTTAGAGTTTAACAGACATCCTAGATGAAACACTTTAGTTGTATAATCTTGGGTGAACTGTTTCACTTCTCTAAGCCACAGCTACTCATCTGTATAATGAAAATATTATCTTTTAATTCATTCAATAAATATTTACTGAGCACTTACCAGAATGCTAGAAACTGGGAATAAAGCAGTGATTAAGACACTGTTACTGTTCTTCAAAAGCTTACAATTAAGTAGGAAACAAGGAAAAACAGTTCTCTTAGAGCACCTAACCCACTTGTGGTATGCAGATGGTTCTGAGAATGAAATGAATGAAGTATATATATGTAACACCTATGACAGCACCAGGCACATGGTATGTGTCCATGGTCATGCAAGTATTAAGTGGCAGCACTGGAACTTAAATCCAAATTGAGTACTCCATACATAATGCAACTTTATCAAGACTCCATTGACAGCCTGTTAACATGCAGATTCCAGGGCTTATCAAAATGATATGTTGAAAATAACATAGTTGCCTACAATTAATTAAAAATCTTCAAGTACTATTTTGATGTGAGATAAAAGAATGTGAAGTCAAACTGTAATAATAAAAGACTTCTGCTTATGTCCATGAAGAATTAACTGCTATGAGAATTTGCCCTTCTGCCATAAACAACTAGAAAACAGGACAAAATATATGAAACAATGGTTTTCAATTATTGTACAAGCAGTAGAGCACTATTAAACTAGAAAAGAGGAAAACCAATGATGTAATACCTATAATTGCTCCAGCTTACTGCCCAAAGCAGTTTCTAGGTTGCAGGCCAAGGAGAGGAAATACAAATAAAGCCAAGTGGTTTCACTGCATTGGAGAATAAAAGATTGAAATTTGAGGAGGCTGAAGCAGCTAAAACTTGTGGTACCAGAGTGTGGGACCTACAGAAGAAGACAGTTCTATAGATTTGCAAGGGAGTCCTCTCTATTGTTTATCTGAACAATGACCTGTGAAAGTATGGGAAGAAACTCCCCAAGGCTGGGGAAAGGATGCTATGAGAAACTGAAGATTAGAAACTGGGAATAGTTTGTGGAGAAACTTCATAATACATGGAGCATTAGAATGTCCTCATAGGGCTCACATCTTAGTAGTAGAGCTCAATTGTCCCCAAATAAAGGCTGCCATTTGATCTCAAATGAGTCAAATTGATCCAAAAGTTATTCAACTGCAAGACAGAACAGAATCCATAATCTTTAAAAAAATATATCAAAATCCCACACTGAAGTAAAATTCAAAATGTAAAATTCACAATGTCCAGCATACAATCAAAAATAACAAGGCAAAGTAAAATTCAGAAAATATGACCCATATGGAGAACAATAAATCCACAGAAGCTGATATAGAAATGACATTAGTAGATATAAATCTTATACATATGATCAAGGTTAAAGGAAAATATGAACCTGATGAGAAAAATGGAAGATATAAAAAAAGACCAAATTAGAACATCTAGAGGATAAAAATACAATATCTAAAATGAAAAAAATACAGGAGTAATAGCAGATTAGGTATTATAGAGGAAAAAAAAACCAGTGAACTTGAAGATATACCTATAGGAACTACACAAAATGAAGAACAGAAAGGTAAAGAGAAAAAACTCCAGAGTATCAGTGAACTCTAGGAAAACAGTAAAAAGTATATAATACATATAAAATTAGAGTTCCAGAAGGAGTAGAAATAGAGGAAGAGAGGTAGACTGTGATTATTTGAAAGTAAACTGCAATAATATTATCTGAAGATGGTAAATGTAGATTGTAAATCCCTAGAGCACCACTAAAAAATGAAGAGGCATGGCTATAAATAGCAATATTGTAGATTTAAACTTAAACATACTGGTAGTTATATTAAATGGTTGAAAATACTAATTAGAAGGCAGAGACACTGAGATTTGATATAAAAGTATGACCCAGCTATATATTGTGTGTTTGAAAAATA